CTTTGGTCCGTTGGAGCCTATTTTTCTACTATAAAATGAGGTGTTTGGGTCTGTTTTACACATAACATTACTTCACAACTCCTACTCTTTCATTGCAAATCATTCTTTAATTATTCATAGCTTTTGAGAGCCATTTTTGTGAAGCTTGTGTTGTGTTCTTGAGCGTTCTTAGTTTACTCATATCCACTCTTAAGGAGAGTCTTGTTCTTGAGTGTCTTAGTGTTGTATACACGTTAAGGGAAGCTTGTTTCCCTTGGTTGTACGAAGGAAAGGTATTTTCCTTCGGGTTGAAGTCTTGGAGTGCGGTATCTCCGAGCAAGTGTTGTTGAGGCTCGTGGGACTCGAGTTCTCAGGTTGTAACGGTTTGTTAAGCACCCGTAAGCTTAACGGAAGTAGTGTAGCTCGAGAGAGTCTCTCGGGAGACTGGATTAGCCACACGTTGTGGTGAACCAGTATAAATCTTGGTGTGCTCCCTTTACGCTTTCTACGCTCTTTACGTTTCACGTTCTTAATTTTTTATTCCTGCGATTTCTACGATCAAACGCTATTCACCCCCCCTCTAGCGTTGGTCACTTATTCTAACACAACATATTTGGATGAGAGGGCCATGGGAATGGAGAGAATTAGGGGAAGGGAGATGACTGGAAGGGAGATGAGTGGAAGGGTTTTTTCTGGAGTCTGCGGCGAGATCGGATAAGGAGGGGAAGGGAGATGAGTGGCTCTAGTTTGTTCAGTTCATGATAAAAGTCATTGATTTTATTAGGTGGTGGATGGAGGTAGATGAGTGGTTATGATGTCCAAATTGAATGTTGTTATTAAAGTAGGATAAAGTTATTTAATTTGTATCCCAAAGTTTTTGTACCTCATTTGTACACCGCAGATTTGCACCAACATTTTGAGTTGGTGAAAAATATTTTTTTTAAACACCAACACTTTGTGTCCGTGTAAATTTTTGTTAATGCACCAACATATGTGTCAATGTAAACTATCAAAATGTTTTTGTATAACTGAGGTGTACAAATGTGGTACAATATTTGGTGTAAGTGTAGCGTAGTCCATTAAAGTATTCTTATTACTCAATATAAAAGTAACCAAATTCAGGTACATATACCAATAATTAACAATATCAAACGTACTGTTACATATAACGATAACCTGGTTTATGCCTGAGATGTTACCAAGATAACCAAACTCTTCAACTGCTACATGTACTGGCAACCTAACTCAATCTTGACTCCTTCAAGGATAATTACGAATATCAGACATACTGTTACATATACTGATAACCTGGTTTCAGTCTTGGATGTTACCATCCATAAGATAACCAAACTCTTCAACTACTACATGTACCGACAACCTAGCTAACTCAATCTTGACTCGTTCAGGGATAATTATGAATATCAAACGTACTGTTATATATAACGATAACCCGGTTTTTGTCTGAGATGTTACCAAGATAACCAAACTCTTCAACTGTTACATGTACTGGCAACCTAACTCAATCTTGACTCCTTCAAGGATAATTACGAATATCAGACATACTGTTACATATACCGATAACCTGGTTTCAGTCTTGGATGTTACCATCCATAAGATAACCAAACTCTTCAACTGTTACATGTACCGATAACCTACCTAACTCAATCTTCACTCGTTCGGGGATAATTATGAATATCAACCGCACTATATTAAATATATATACTAATAACCCAATGATGATGTTATAGCAGATATGGTATCAGTATAAGCAAAGTAACCAACTGCTACATGTAACGATAACCGAAGTCATTTTTTAGTCGTACTCTACTCGTTCCGATGATAAAACTTAGTCTTTAATTTAAGAATAACACAAAGTAATATAAACATCACCAGACCTTATTGCAATGGTCTTCAAAGGCCTCTGCGTTCATAAAATTTAAAATGAGGTGGGGGAATTATCGAGGAGTTCCTTCTTTAAGAAAAAAACACCACCATGAAACAATTGATCCCTTTGTCCCACTATTTATTGGACATGAGGGAGTAGCATAGAAATTAAGTTATATAAGATGGTGTGGTTGATATTGATGTTAAAAAGTAAGAATGAATGTGAACCACACAAAAACTATGGCATGGGACAAAATAGTGGGACAGACATAAAAGGTAAAAAGGGACAAAAATAGTGGAACAAAGGGAATAAAAAATTTGAAGTCTAAAACAATGTCAGTAGCATGGCCTAAAAACCTGAATGCCGTCAAAAATGTTCCCCAGTATACCAGGGCCTAGCTCCACTGACAAAGGCTGTAATTTCAAAAGTAAAATTCTTAGAATTAATTGTTCAGATCATAAACAGAATACCATATTGATCAAAAGAAAACAAGTATGTATTCACCTTGTGGGTACGCAGAACAGGATCATTAACCATCGTAGGAGTTTGAAAAAAAAGTAAATTGAACAAGGAGTTCATTTCTAAAACTGAAAACTTTACATTTTTTTTACTACTCCATCCGTCCCGAAATATTCTTCCCATTTTCTTTTTTGGTTCGTCCGGAAATATTCTTCCCATTTCCTTTTTAGTATACTTTTAAAGATAAATTTCAATAATACCCTTCTATTTTGGAAAGTATGTGTATTTTTTAAAATTTTGCATTTTTACTATTTCTCAATAAGCGTGCCAAATCAACACGGGAAGAATATTTCCGGACGAAAGGAGTATTTTTTAAAAAACTTGTCAAATCTACTTTGTACATGTGAAAAAAAATAATGGAGAACATTCTTTTTAAAACTTTTAAAATTTTTGCCAAAATATTGGCCAAAATCTACTACTCTGTACGTGGCAAAATTTTGGCAAAGAAGGGCCAAAACTTTTAAAATTTTCGCCAAAATCTACTATGTGCCAAGCATACTCCCTCTAAAATTTTGGCCAAAATATTTCAAAAAATTCATCCACCCTCCAAAATTAAGCTGGAAGCTCACCACGTATCCTTGTTCATGTACCTCCCAAAAACCGAGAAGGCCTCCCAAAAATAACTTCACCTAATTCAATCAATTCATCCACTCTACTTTGAACTTCAATCCCTACCTCCGGTCGCCTCCTCACTCAACCTTCTCTTCTCCGATTCATCTCCTCACTCAATCCCTACCTACCGTTTTTGCCAACATTGCAGCTGAAAACCCTAAAATAAGGTAAGTCGTAAACCTCAAATCTGGTATTCCCTCCAACAATAGTCACCATATTTGTTTTCCCAATATTTTCGAATTCTCTAAGGCCTCTTCTTTGCATGCGTCTACCTCGCTGCTCAGATCCCCCCAAAGAGGTCAGGGTTACATTTCTCAATCCATTGAAGTCACAATTCATTGGGTTGTTGTTATTCTTTTTAATTTACTATCTGTAAAGGCTTGCTTCCAGGATTCAAATCCTCACCATGTAGGTTACCAGAAAGGGTTCAACGAATTCCTTAATACGTTTTTTTATCTCAATATTTTGGTACAGACCTTTGTTGTTTGTGTAATGCTTGACATCAAATTTATTTTACTGTTTTAGTGTCCCTTATCACAAACTGTACTCCTGAAAATTCACCTAAAAAATGAATGTGATAACCCAACTACAAATTGAGGCAGAACCCAATTTTCCATTATGCGCAGCATTTATTCGATATATACCTTATTTTAGACTGAAATGTTTGATCTTCACTCACTTTCAGAATATGGCTAGCACTCAACAGAATTCGCAGGCTGGACGTGCAAACCAAAAACCAATTCTCCGATCCTCTCCAAAGCACAAGAAACCAGAAGCTCTTTCAGACCGTAATGAACTGCAATGTCATAGTTCCCCAAAACCCGAGCTCCGAAAATCTCCCAGGCTTAAAAGAAAAGATCGGCCGAGCACTTTGACAGTGGTGCAGGCATTGAGTGGCTCAAGGTCAAAGAAAGTGCAAAGCCATTCTACTCCCTTGCCCGTCACACCAAAGCCAAAGCCTATATCTGACAATGTACAAAAACAGATCAAGCAGAAGAGAAAGCGGGAAGAAGTAGAAAGTGAAAGTGTCGCCAAGCCTTTTGGGGGTGGGTTGAAACTCCGAAAACGTGGATGTGTTTCAATGCACCGCGTTGTGAAACGTAAGATAAATGGACAGAAACCAACGGTTTTGTTTAATGATAAGGGACAACCGTATGGTGTGGCTGCTGCAGAGATGCAATCTTATATTGGAGTTTTGGCCAGGACAAAAGCTCCAATATGGTTTGACACTTGGAGGCAAGTTCCAGTAACCATCAAGAACAAGATTTGGAAATCTGTCACGGTAAATATAACCATACTAACACTTGACTAGTCCTTACAAATTAAATAACTTGATCATTAATTATATACCTATGTTTTCCAATTGACTTAGACTAGTAAATTCCTCCCATGTTTATGCATATAGTTGGGGTTCGACCTACCCCCTTCTGCACAAAAACTTGTGCTGCAGTCGGCGAATTTGAAGTGGAAACAATTCAAGAGTACCCTGACATGTAAATATATTCGTCCCTTTCGAGATGAACCTGAGAGGATGAGGACTCCACTAGAGGACTTCTCTTTCTTGGAGAAGAATCATTGGGATATTTTTGTTGCTGATCGTCTAAGCCACGAGTTCTTGGTAAGACTATGTTTCCATTGTACTTTATTTAAAATACAACCTTTTTGATGAACTGTCCCTTTTTTGCAGAAAGTCCATGATGAGCATGTGAAGAGAGTTAAGGAAAACAAATATCCTCATCGCTTGTCCCGAAAAGGCTATGCAAACCTGGAACGGGAATGGGTTAGTACTCACTCATATATGCGGAGTTCTGTGTTAGGAGTATTCCTCTTCTACATGTACATTTTGACTATGATACATTACTCACTAAATGAACATGCAGGCAAAAACACACAGTGGAGATGAGTCAGTCATTGATCGATCTGTTACGTGGGTCCTTTCAAGGAAGGACAAAGAAGGAAATTTCAAGAGTGACTCTACAAAGCAGAAGGCGGAGGAAATTGTAAGTTTTTGAATAATTTCTGAAAATTAGTAAGTTCTTGCACATAATGTTGCTGTCTGTCTCTAATCCCAGCAGCCCTGTTGTTTTTCATCTCATGGCTATTCCTTTGATGCTGATAAGTCACAAAATGTCATATTTTCTTCTCTCATTTCTTAACACTTTTAAGATGTTTTATATGCATTTTATACTTAAATGAACATATTTTGTTCTACTTAGCATTTTAGGCCTTTGTTTACATTTCATACATAAAATGCATGATTTTAAGCACATTTATATTTGACAATTAATTTGGAACATTATTTTTCCTTGGGTCAAATATTTTCAGGTATATAAAAAATGAAGAAAATAACAATATTGGACTTTTAGAGCTTTGAGGCCACAAATTGAAGAAAGGAAGAGAATTGGGCCGAGCTCAAATTGGAACTCCGACCCAATGAACTTCCCTACTATTATACTAATGTTGACCAACTCCATCTTAAGCAAATAAAGGAAAAAGGAAATAAAAAAGAATGAAGAAGAATGAACCGAAGGAGCACTGGAGTTCTAAAGGGAGAAGACTTCTCTAGCCCTTCTCAAACTCAATTGCAATCAAGATCTAGCCAATATAAATACAAACGCTGGTAGAATTCTAAAGGGGGGAGACGGATAGGAAACAGAGAGCAGAGGGAGATCGTGAATAGAGAAGTGCCGGCGTAGGGTTCCGACCCTAGGTCGGCGATGACAATTCCGGCAGTCCGACGGCAACCATTCCGGCAGCAGCCATGGATTCCGAGCACGGCGATGACTGGCGGCTCAAGGTCGGCATCTGGTCCCGACTTCTGTGCATCGTGCGAAGAAGACACTTCCAGGGAGCATTCCTTCTACTTTTCAATTTTATTTTCTATGAATTAGGATTTTGAATTTGTTTAATTTCCAATTGATGAATTTGATATCCGTTATTTAAATATAATTATTTTCAATTCGAATTCTATGTTGAATGTTTAAGTTATATTATAAGTGTTGATTTGTTTGAGTGTTGATGTTGAATTGTTNATTGTTCAAGCTTTGATTTATTGATTTGTTATTGTCTCTGGAATTATAAAACCTTCTTAGGCTAAATTGTTTGATAAAAAGATTGAATCTTTGTTTGTTGAATTAATTTGACTTTGAAGAGATTTTAGCTCTACGCTACTGTTAAATCTAAATTCAAAAAGGTGTTCTGAGAACTATAATTCACCGGATTTTACTTAAATTGGGCAAAATTAGGACTGCAGACTAATCCAATTTAAAATGATATTTTTTTAAAGTCCAAAGTGCTTTAAATAGCCGAACTTTTCTAGAAACTAAGTATCACTTGATTAGTCTTGGCTGCCTCGTTAAGTGGTTTTTGCTAATCAAGGTTCTCGAACTGATTTTGTTAAATAACCGTAGTGTTACTGCAAAGTTGTTATGGTGACATTTTCCACAAATCTTAATGCGCTATTCTTAGTAGTAACTTAAGGATTGGTCTTTGGGTTGCTAAGGGTAGTAGGGTTTAGAGTTAGGGTTGGTCTTAACATGAGCTAAAATGAATGGGAAAATAGGGAAGAACCGTTGGTGGACCTCTTCTTCAGCCTAACCCTGAGTTTAATTAGCAGTTTAATTTCAGAATCAAGGCATAATTAATTAATTAATCAGATTTGTTCAATTTATTTTCTATTAAAAACTATAAGTATTTTCAAAATGGTTTAAGTTAATTATTATTGTCTACGTTTTTATAAAGTTTATTGTGTGATTGTTTTTGTGTGTTAGTTTTCTCCCTGAGTGTTCTTCTGAGTTCGAGTTGCTGTTGTGGTTCCATCTCTAGACTGTTATCTTTATCTTTATTTTATTTGCATTTTTATCTTTTTAGAGTTATCATTCAAAACCCCCCATATATATTAGCTTAGTTTTAGTGTTTAGGTTTTAGTTATTTTTTACTCAATAAAAGTGACAAAGTAAATTGATTTTCATAGCAATAAAAGTATCTTTCCTCGTGGGATCGACCTTTACTTGCCCTATCTATATGTTTTAAATAATATTAATTCATAAAGGGGGATTTTAGTTAAGGAAAATAATAAATTAATTTGTAGGTGCTACGACACGCCTAACAGATGCTAATGTTAAAATTTTGAGTTCTATAACACTTCTGTTTTATTGATAGAATTTCGGTTCCTTTTCAGGAATTCTTAAGGGAACAAGTATGTTCTGGTGTGCTTACTGAAGAAGGTGATGATGATGTATTGACCAAGGCTCTTGGGAAGCCCGAGCACGGTGGAAGAGTTCGAGGTCAAGGAATGCATGTGAGGAAGGCTGTGTATTTCAATCTCCCGCGGTCAAAGAAGCAAAAGACACAAACAACGGTTGATGAGCAAGTGAAGGAGTGTGTGAGACAACTTTTGGCAGAGGAGGTGAATAACATTGTTGCTTCAAGAGATGCTTTTTGGATGGCTGAGATAGAGAAGTTGAAATCAGAGATTTGGAAGAAACAAGGAAGTAGTCCTGCTGTCCCTTCCCAAGAGGCTAGCTGCTCACCTAAATTCAGGGAAGGTGGGCAGAATCAACAAGTGGCAAGGAGCAATCTAAAGCACTCATTTGATGCAGAACTTGAACCACTCACAGAGAATAATGACATTGGTGATGAGTGTAATCATAAACTGTCCGTGGCTGAGCATGTTGATGAGAAACAAAATGAAAAAGAAAGAGAAAAGAATGAGAGTGAAATTGATACTGTGGAGAAGCTTGTGGAAGTTGGAGGACTTAAAGTAGAGAAGAAAGCAGAAAAAGATGTCTTCGTTGATGTTGATTCCGGGGAGAGCCAAATGGCACAGCTTGCTGTTGGTTCTGTGGACAATATTGTTGCACATGCAAAGGTGTATGGATTCTCCCGGATGGATGACCTCACCCTACATGGTGAAAAACTGGATGAAGAATATGCAAAGGTGTCCATTACAGAAGCAATACAATGTTTGCATGAGCAAGTTATTAATATTTTGAATGTATAAGCTAAGAATGAAATGCACACATTTTAGAAGTACTCATGTTTTTAATCTTTGATATTTGCCAAATGTTGACATTCCAGTCCCAATCCCCGGTGAAGTACTTACTGTTGAACAAGCCAAAGGAACTTTTGTAGCATGGCCTAAGGAGCTGATAGTCTTGGATGTGCTTCCTAAAGGAAAGGTTATTATATATCTACTATTATGTCTACTTGATTCTTTTAGATAATATATTTACCCACGTGCACATTTTTTATAGAGCAATTTAATAACTGTCAAAAAGAAAAAGGCCCCTAAAAGATTGAAAAAGGCACATGTTCAAGACGATGAGGAATGTGGCCAAGAGTTCCAAGTAGAATTTGGTCCTGAGTATCCACTGCACTTCAAACGGCTATGGTTGTGGGCTAAGGAAGCATTGTCTGATGATAGAGCACATACTTTTGTCCTTAATAAAGATGCCTTTGGGGTGGAAAAGAAGTTATCGGTTTTTATGAGTGATATACATGCTCTGTGCGCTCGTGGCGAGATGGCAGGAAGCATAATTACAATATACATCCAGTAAGAATGTCATCACACAAACATTTTATTTTCATTGTTAAAAGCCTTTTGATATAATATACTTATGGACAAGTGACATAACTATCATGTAATTACCCATGCAGCTGCATGTATGAGCTTGTGAAAAAAACAAAATGCTTCAGATGATCTCTTTCGTGGATCCCAGCATGGTAGGGACGCTTGCATGTGGGAACATAGGGCAGAGGTCACGCAAGCTTGCTGATCGCTTTAAGGGGGGCGGTGATGGACAACACTTTCTAATACCGTTCAATGACGTGTAAGTATGTTTAAGTTGTTCATGTCAAGAACTGATGTTCTGAATTGTTTCTTCCTTGTGAAGTTAGTCTTCAATTTGCATTGTAATGCTTTGTTAATACACTTATGTAAGTGCGAATTTCTTTAAGTTCGTGAGAATGTCGTACTTCATATATGTTTTTATTTGTAGGAATCATTGGGCTTTGACTGTTGTCAAACCTAATGAAGAGGTAGTGTACTACATGGACCCCCTTAAACGGCGTATAGATAGTCAGGAGTGGACTAAAGTGGTTGATAAGTAAGTAGTGACTCAATGAACAAAAATCTTTGGTATATGCTATCACTTTTGCTTTTAACATTTCTCTATTTATCTTTTTTGGTTTCCTTATAGTGCTATAGTTTTGTATAAGAATACCATGAGCACACCTATGTTGAAGAAGAAAGTGTCTTGGGAGAATATGGCAGTATTATATGATTCTTATTATTTGGTATGTAAAGCAGGTTGAATGAGAAGTGTTGTATAACGTACTTTATATTTTTGTTTTTTAGGGCATCCCGATGCAAAAAGGGAATGTAGACTATGGCTTGTTTGTAATGCGATACATGCTCTTTACACAGATTTAAGTTGAAGCTAATTTAAGATAGCGCTGTATAGAGTATTTTTATTTTGTGAAGCTGGAGGTTTTTGAATTTCATAAAAGCTATTTTCCCTTTGTTTTATATTTAAATATGATGCAGCATATCAGATGTTTATATGCGCAAGTATTAATATATGCAAAATGAAGCTCTTATTCTATTTTTTTATACTCAAACTACTTAAAATAAAGAATGGATATTTGTTTTTGTGGGTGAAAGGTAAAGAGTATCCCCCTATAGAACACATTAAAAGAACATGACAAGCCATGTCTTGTGTAAGTTCTGGTGTTTTTAATTTGAAGAGACTTTAACATTAAGTAGAGCCTCTTCTAGTTCACTAATAATGTGTACTACTCAATGCAAGTGGAGGTTTGAGTATTTATTAATGGTCAGTTCTTTAGTGTTAGTCATCACGAATAATGTACTTCATACAAATAAGTTCTTATGTGTTGCATCCTATATTTTTGGAATTTACTTCACTTCTATGATTGGCTTATTAGATATTTGGTTTTTTCCTACGATTTTCAGTGGACGCGTCGGGGAAATCTGGAATACACCGAGGATGACATCAATCAAACAAAGGTTGAATTTGCAAAGTATTTTATGAGTCATAATGCCATTTGAATGGTTCTACCCCTGGACTTTGGTTGTATGTTTTATTGTGTTAGATTGTTGAATCATGTATTGGGAATTTATATTTCTTTTCTTATCAGTCATTCTTGATCAGTCTTTGTGTTGTATGAATTATTGAACGACCACTGTAATAGAATGCAAAAAACATGGTTATCCACCAAATACAGTACTCCGAATGGTTGAGGCACAACACCAAATGACAATAGTTTGAATATCTGCAACACAACGCCATAAAACAGAAGCATCTGATTATGATAGGCAACACAAATAAACGCTTGACTGACAAGCAGCCTTACTACTGTTAATTTGATATTACAAATATTTTACGGACAACTATTTAAACTAGTAGAGGTAATACCTGCTAGACATCTGGTATTGCAATTGTGTGAAATGAAACATAATCGTATTCTTTGTTTTAGATTTACCACAAAAAAGAACAGTTCTCTAATGCAAATGTTTTCAGTGGTGTTACAAGCAGCTGTCTGATAACAATTTCGACTACTCTCCCAAAATATTGTTTGAATGGGTGGTACGACAACGATCCAAAACAGTATTGTTTATAGATGTCGTACAACTAAAACAAATAGTTGTTTAAGATAAGACCAAAATAATAGTCTGAACATTATACATACAACCCAACGTAATAGTTGTTTGAAGCAAATACTTATAGTGGTCTTCCGAGCAGCTATCTGGTAGCAGATTCAACTACTGTTTGGAAGTATAGTGTCAATGTTTAAAGGACAACGAACAAAAACTGGAGTGCTAATAGACGGCATACAACCAAAAAAAAGTTGTTTAAGGTAAGACCAAAGTAATAGTCTCAACGTTGTACATACAACAGAAGGTAGCAGAGGTTTGATGGAATTACTTATAGTGGTCTTCCGAGCAGCTGCCTAATAGAACATTAGACTACACCTGGAAAACATAGTGTAACCGCATCAATCCCAACTACAGTAAACCATTGTCGTAATAGTCCATATACAATTAATTAAGACAGTTGTTTTTAAGTAGTTGTCTGAACTTCTATATACAACACAATAAAACTGTTGTCTGAGTATATCCAAAATCGTAGACTCAATCACAAGCAGACAACAAATATTCAAAGTTGTGTTAAGCTACAAAACACCGGTGTTAGATTTGGATTTGCACAATTGTTCTAAATCGAGGTCTAGCATCCCATCAGACAGCTGCTCGGAAGACTACTGAAAACATCAATTATAGACTACTAAAATAAACAATTGTCAGCCTCTGTTTTTGACGTAGCGAATTAAGATGACATTTGAGGAAACTTTAGGTGGTTTGAGTAAAATAAAATGCTCCATAATGGTTTCAGAGGGGTCGCTGGCATTGGTTGATTCGCCGAGGAAGACCAGGCAGTGAAGAGAGGCGTGACTCACGTAATCCTCCATCCATAATCATTGTTGTTGGGGTGACGTCTTCACCAGTGATCGTCGGAAGGGAGTGGATGATTGATGGTTGCCGCTGCATCAGGACCGCTGGATTTGTGAGGTCTCCCCCCGCCGCAATGTCATTCGGTCGAAGAAAAGGAGAGAACGAGGGCTACGTTGATTTTACGCAGGTACTCCATATATATGTTTGTTTTATAAGCTCGGTTCTAGTGACACCGGAAAAAGGTGCCACTCGCGGTGCCACTACGTTTTTGGGGCACCTCCAGTGTCATCTCTTGAAGTATTCAAGAAGGTGCACAGATTGATGTTATAAATTTTAAATTTTAGATTCTAAATTCCTAAATTTCAAACTTATAGTTTTAAAATTTTAAGTTTAGATTTTAATATATAAAATTTTAATTTATCATTTTAATTTATATTTTTTAATTTAAAATTTTAATTTTATTTTAGTTTTAAGTTTTAAATTTTTGGTTTTTACTTTTTAGTTTTTGATTTACAACTTTTAAAGTTTTGATTAATACAACTTAATTTCTAATTTAGATTTAAACTTTTGAATTTTTATAATCTACTCCGTAATTTTTAATTTAATCTATTAAATTTTAATTTATAAATTTGAAATTTAAAATTATAAAATTATAAATTTTAAAATTTTGTTTTTAAAATTTTACTTTTAAATTTATAAATTATAGTTTTTAATTTATATTTAATCATTATTTCTTTGTTTTTAATTTTAAATTTTAAATTTTAATTTTTGAATTTTAATAATTAAAATAGATGTCACTATCACTATCACTTGATAAAATAAAATATTTTTGTAATCTCTTATTTTGTTGAAATTTTGATATAATTTTGAACGGTGTAATTTATATTTTTATTTTTATACTAATTTATAACTAAAATAATTTTAAAAATGATACTCGTAGAATTTTACACATGATCTAGAGTGTGGTATCCATTGTGGGATGGAGGGGTATTTAAGTTTTAAAAAGCAATTTTTCACTACATCGAAAGTCAATTATACTTTTTTTTGTTATTATCCGAAAATGATCTGAGTGATTTTTTTCTGCCCGTAGAATTTACATTCAGGATTTTTTTGTGCTATGGAATTCAAATTGTTGAATTGAAAAATTTATAATTATAATTCAATTCAGAATCCACTTATTTTTGTGTTATCGAACAACAACATTAGAGAGTTCTCCAATTTCATGGCTTGAATTTGGTGTACAAAATGAAATGTTAATATATTTTATTTTTCTACGAAGTATTTTTTTATTCCATTTTTTCTCAGAAGATTATTTTTTTCTCTCCAATATTGAGGGTGTTTGCTTATTGACTTATTGGTGATACGTAGTTTTTAACTTATAGGTTGCTTATAAGTCAAATTTTCTTTTGTTTTAGTAAATGGACTTAAATAATAGATAAATCATTTGTAAATATTTATAAATGGTGATGAACAATTTTGTAAATAATCTGGTTAAAATGGAGAAACAAAAAAACTAATTTAAAAACAAGTAGCTAATTTCTACTTATTTTTTCTGGCTTAAAAGTAGTTTAAAAGTCAACATATAAGTACACTGAAACATGTCATCAGCTGACTTATAAATTAAGCAATTTTGATTAGCTTATAATGGAGAAACAAACTCCCTCCTTCCCTAAATATATCTCATATTTCTATTACCGAGGTAAAATATCAAGTTTTTTCAATTTATTTTATTTACATATTGGTATAGAAATAAAAAATAAAATTTAAATATCAAAAAACTACATGAAAAGTTTTTCGAAATAAGAAGTGTCAAAAATATTTTATTTTATCATAACTAATAAAAATATAGAAATCAACAAAAGTTTTCGAGACTGCCGAAAAAGCAAATTGTGAGATATATGGTAGTAGATATTAAATTCCTTAATTCAACCGATGAAGCGTGGAATTTGGGGGAAAGAAAATCCCAAAAGTCTGACATTCTAAGCTTCATAATTTGAAGATCCCGGAGAAACCCAAGACGGCGAAGTATAAGTTAAGAAGATGTGACGCATTGATACTTCCATTCCTAATTTGGTTCTGGTAAAGATAGGCGGCGGCAATAGCAGCAACAGCGGCGATGGAAGGCAACGGTGACGGCAATACTTCCACCGCTCCGACCGTTTTGACCGGCGGCAATGGTAGTAATGGTGCGGAGTCGGCGGAGGCAAGGAGGAGGGTAAGAATACCCAGCGCCGGTGGTGGAGGAGGATTAATAGGGAAGCCGGTTATAGTGATGATATGCGGGAGCCTGGTGTACTACCACTGCGCCTATCAGAAATCAAGCCTTGTCTCTCTCGTCTCAGACGTCTTCATCGTTCTTCTCTGTGCTCTCGCCATACTCGGCCTCCTCTTCCGCCAGATGAGCATCCCGTATGTCTCTGATTCACCACTACAATTTTTCTTCAAATTATCTGCCGATCCGTTTTCTGCAAAATGAGTTGTGCATCCCAAATCTCGTATGAACAGATTATATGCTTTAGTTAATGAACTACTTGATTGAATGAACTGCAGTGTGCCGGTAGATCCACTAGAATGGCAGATATGCCAGGAGACGGCCAATAGCGCCTTTGCCGGTTTGGCCAACACAGTTGGCGCTGCTGAATCTGTTCTTCGTGTTGCTGCTACAGGTCATGATAAGCGGTTGTTCATCAAGGTTGGTTCCCACTTAGCATTCATCCAGGAATCCCTGGGTTAGGTTTTACTCCGTATTTATTAGAATTAAAAATTAAAACCACAGTATAACGCCTTAATTTTGTTGGAGCTGTCCAATGGTATCACATTTACACCATAGTTCCTATACAATCACTCATTGCTTGGGAAAAAATATTTCCTCTGTACGGTCACCCTTGAAGAATTTGCAGTGTTATTAAATGAATGTGAGAGAAATGAGGCAAGGCCTTCAGAAAACCCAGAAAGGATGTTATAGTATTTGTTTTTAGAGAAATTTCTTCCCTGTCCATCAAGGATATATCTTTTCAGTAAGCAAAACAGAAATAGTTAAGCGCTAATGTGTACAGGTTACTGTCCCTCCCCTCTTTAATATATTTGCTCGGTAAACAAGGTAAATAGCATCTTACACTAAACATGTTATTGTTGATCTCCCAAGCCTCAGTGTTGAAATGAGTTTAATGATGAGAGAGGGAGACATGATTTAAGATTACTCAAACCATAGCAATAGATACATTGAGATCACAGAAAAAGCCTCATGCAAAAATGCAAGGCTCTCCTTTTTTTAGCATTAGGTACATTAATTATTTTGATGCTTATAGCACCAGGATCGAGGCTACAGTGAACATTCGTAATATGTCCTACCAGGTTGTTGCTACTCTTTACATGCTGTCTGTTTTAGGGAGGATGGTTCCTGGTGTTACCCTTGCTTATGCTGGTATGCTATCACATATCCTCATTATTATTCTTCAGTGCTAAATTTTACCCCGTATGTTTTGCCTCTATAATACTCCGGAGTATATGATATAAGATATAACAGTAATAGCATTGTCCACCCCTTCAGGATTATTTTTAAATGTATATTCTTAGTAGTTGCAACAACTCATTTAGTCAGCTTCTATTCCTAATAGTTTCTTTTTTTTATTTTTTCATTCTCTTACAACTCTACAATTAACTGTTACAAATAAACGAACACCAAGGACGGTGTTGAACCAACCAATCTGTTCATTGTTCCTTGTGGACATTCCACTGAAAGTAAAGGAGTAAATGCGAGTTTTCTGAACATGTTTCGGTTGCTGTAGCCATAGGGTTTAGCCAAGTACTACATTAGCAAATGTTGTGAAATAATTGGATTCCATCCATATTGAATGTGCCATAATAAAAATGGAATGAACAACATTTATTTCCGAGCGTTTGGGATATATCTGTAAATACCCATATTTGTGTCTTGCAAAACACATTTCGAAAAATCTGGAATTTTAATATAATATCAGTAGTTTTCACATGAATTCCCAGAAAACAGCCCGGAAAGTTGGTTTTTACTGTGTAATAATAAACTCCTTCCACCCCACTATTTTTGTCTTTCTAACCATTTTGTCCGTCCCACTATTTTTGTATCATTCTATATTTAGTCATATTGTGTGGTTCAAATTCATTCTAACTTTCTAACACCAATATCAACCACATAATCTTGTTTTTTTTTAAAGTTCATGTGCCGCTCCCTCATGAACTTTAATTTGAGTGCACAATCCCAAACCAATCCAGTATCACGAGTTCGTTAAGTTGTGCTCCGAATTCCTTTATACCAGTGCCTAAAAGGCTGGTCTTTTGTTTTTCTGCAGTGTAATAAGGTATTTTGCTCTCTCATTTTTTGTGTGCAGGTCTGTGCTTGTTTTGTCTGTACTTGCTAATAGAGAACTCTGAATTGATCAGTTCACGCGTCTTGCGTTTTTCTGGGACGAGAGATTATTCGACAGCACAAGATGATAACTCATAGTTGTTTACAGCAACGTGTGTGCATTTAGTCCACGTTTCTCTTCTTATATAGTTCTCTTCATTGGCATGCCATATAAGGTGTTCTGTAAATCTGTGATGTATATGAATTATTAGCCTTTAGCCCTCTGTTGCATTGAGAGGTGTTATAAAAAGATAGGGAGGAGTACTTTCCACCTTGGAGAAGCACACAGTAAATAAAATACACTTATCTTTGACGGTAGATCTTTTCGTTTCTGGTGACCCAAATAATACTAGAAATGAACAGATCTAAAGCAATTTCTAATTGTATTTGGGCAGGTTCATATGCAAAAAAAAAGCATAACCATACTCAATTCATGACAATAAGTGAGATGATTGGGTGAAACTATTGTACTCCGTATTCAATTATGTTGGTTTACAATGATTGGCTTCAATACAATTTATTTGAGAATTAGAGTTGAACTAAAAAAATAAATTTGCATATTTAAAAAAGGGTGGGGCTGGGGTGGGGGGTTTAGGGGGAGGGTTAGAGGGCTAAGAACCGTCGTTTTTACAAACGGAGCACCGTAGGTACCATAAACGAACTGGTGTAAGCAAATGACACCAATAGCACTGGCGTCATTTTAGACTTGCCGTTTAAAAAATATATCAAAAGTTCTACAAAATAAGAGATGACAAGAGTATATACTCCCTCCGTCCCATAAAGTGTTACCCATTTTGACTAAAGTTGAAATTAAGGAAGGGATAATTTTGTGTTGACTTTCCAAAAATACCTTGATGTGATGGGTAAAAGTAGGATGTGATGTGTAGATTATTAGAAAAAAGGTATGATGTGATACATAGGGTTTGAAAAAGTAAGGGGTAAAAGTGGTTTTTTAATAGAAATGGGTAAGGGATTGTGGGACATAATTTTTTTGAAACGTGTAAATCTTTTTGGGACGGAGGGAGTATTATTTTATCAAATGAATATTAAAAATAGGAAAAGTAAATAAAATTTGATCTTGTGAATAATAAATAAAAAACTTAATTTAGAATGGAGAAAGTAATTTTTATTTTTGGTCTCTATAAATTTTTGTTTAAGTCATTCTTAAAAAAAATTATTTTGAAAATGATCCTTAAATGTAATTAACACTTCTAATTAATTGAAGTGCCACATTTATTTAATACTTGACATCATACTATTGCACATTAATTACCACTGACACGATTTCAAAGTCATACATTGAGTCTTTATTCATATTAGATCTCTAATTCTTAATCTTTTTAGAAATACTCCATAAGATAATAGATTTTGAAAATTGGAGATGTAATTTAATGAATGACACAACTTTGGAAATGGGAATTATGTCAAGTTAATTAGAATTCCAAGACAAAGATATTGAATACAAAATAAATCTGTGTTCAACAAATTAGAAATCTTAATTGTATTTCGGATTCATTTTCAAAATAAAATTTTTTATAAGGATGAGTTTAACAAAAAAAATTGCATGGACCAAACACAAAAGTTGCCTATTCTACAACGTCAAATAGCTCCAATGCATCATGTGCTCAGAAAAATTGGCACCAATACCTTCTTTGTTTTCAAAATTTATTTCTAAAATTCTCGTCGTCTCAAAAAATTACACCCCTCCTCTGATCATTTTTCTGGTCGTTTTCCGGCGAAGAGGGAGAGCATTGGTGACTTATTTTCTCAAACCATAAAGGGAACAGAACTCACTTCTCATTTTTCATTTATTTTTTGGCTTTTTTCCTTTTTTAACTCCTTTTTTCATCTTTTGTTTCCTTTTATCATAATGATTTAAATCATAGTTTTAAAAAACAGACCAACCAGTTCTAACCGGCCCGGCCTTTTAGACCTCTTTGCGTAGTAAACCTATATAAACTGGTAAGAACCGGCCAGTTCATCCGGTCGATGAAGGTTTTTTTTTTTTTTGCAAAAATTGGCCGAAACATTATTTCATCTCTAGGATTCAAACTTTAGACCTCTTGTATGTTATATCAAGAGGTCCACAACCCAAGCAAGACTATTTTTTGTTATATACTTGTTCCAAGTAGTATATACTCTGTAATTAAAAGAATAAATATGTTTTAAAAGATCTCTTTATTTCTTAAACTAGGATTTCTAACATTTAAAAATACAACTAATTCTAAAATGATGTGTCACGAAAAAATTCATTTGAGTTTTTTTGGATATTCGACAAAATATATAAAGAAAAATAAAACATCCTTATTTTATAAAACGTTTAATGTACTTCTCGATATGTAAATTTTATTTTAAATATATATTCACTAATAAAATAAATTAAAGTGATAATAACTTCAATCAAATATCAAAAAGTTTTATGGTACAGACGAATTGAGTAATTTTTATTTTATACAAAATAAAAATTACACACACACAGATATATATGTGTGTGTGTGTGTATTAAATATGTTTAAGCCACAGATTCAACAAGTGAACTAGTACTTTAATCGATTCGGTTCTTGAAACTGTGTTTTAAAAAATCTAAAATTATTTGTGTTTGAGATAAAACATTTTCAATTTAAACATTTTCAATTTTTTTCTAGATTAATTTTTTTTGGGGAAATTTAATAAAGAAAATTCGGAATAAAAAAGATAAAAATATGAAAAAACGAAATGAAAAAAATTGAGACAAACAAAAAAATTCTTATACAAAAAGAAAATTCCAGAACGTCCAAAAGTGTTTAGAATTAGTATATCCAGAAAAGGTATATTCAATTTAATTTTTTCTTTTATTTTATTTCCTATTTTATTCCTCAATTATGAACTTCCCAAAAACAATATTACTTTTTATTTCAGAAAACAAGAAATAAAATTTTTTAATTTGAGAGATAAAGATGCATTATATGTAAGTAATAATTTTTTATTTCAAACAAAAAGAATTTTAAATTTTAAAAACATTATAAAAATCAATTTTAAAAAGAAATTAAAAAACCCTTCATAGTCAAAAGAAAAATATAGAGAAAAAATAGAAGCTATTATAAAATAAATGAAAAATGAGCAATGAGCACCAGTGTCCCTTATATTTGATAAATAGACACTAATATCTTATGTTCGCCGGAAAAATGGCTTGAATGTAATTAGAGTGAGTGTGTGTCCAAGCTTCTAAAACTACAGAGATTTTAGAAATAATTTTAAAAAGTGAGAGGTATCAGTGCCTGTTTTCGAAATGACAAAGGATACTAGACCAATTTGACCTATTTTACAAGAACTAAAAACATATTTAACCCTTATTTTAATCCCTATATTCGGTGGATTAAAATTTTGAAAAGTTTGAGCTAGGCTTATTCAGCATAAAAGTACTCACAAGTATGCCTTTCCTTTTTTCAAAAGGAAAAAGTACACGCAGAAATCTTTGTCGTGTCTTCTTGGAGTTCAANATAAAATAACACCAACTGTCAAAAAAATACTCGGTAACCAATTGGACCACATTGGGCGGGCAGTGAGTCAGCCACAGTGAAGACTACTACTGATTTTGCTGCCTAAGCAATACATCTTTCCAAGCTTCATAGAACATCCAAGTTATCCCTGAAGAAGGCATCACTTTCAAACAGCTTGCTCCCCACCCTCTGTAAAGACCAAGCGGCCCTTTCTCCTTGACGATCTCCGACAGTGCAGCCACCATGTGCGGTGGGCATTTCCCTTGCAACGCCCCAACCATTAGCCGCTTCCTCGCCACCTCCAATGGGTAACTAATAGTGCTGGCTGTCAAGCCTGCTCCAGGGAGGCCAATCATTTTAGATATATTACTGCTACTGTTACTGTTAATTTGTCTATTTCAAAAAGATCAATCATGATTTGGTCAAATTACCAAATGATCCTCTATGTTTTTGAAACATTACAAATACACCCCAAAACTAGCCACCAGCAACTATTATTAAAGAGTACATAATACAACAAAATTGAGAAGATTTGTGCGCGAATTTAGTGTTTTAATGCATTTCATAGGCTATAATGTCTATAGTACGAACTCAAAAAACATTTTTTAAAGGAAAGATTTTGAGGGTGATTTAGTCCGGAAAAACTCAGTTCTTATTTCTTACTGATAATATCACTACATCTTTCAGTGCCTGTGTGTGAAAACTCAAGAGACTTGATTGTAATTTCCTAAAGGATCATTTAGCAATTTGATGAGACCTCTCATGTAACTTAGCCCTCAAAAGAACAAAGTTTAAACTAAAACTAGTGGACAGGATTGAAGTAATGGAGGAAGTGTTACCAGAGAGAGCCCCAAGTAGAAGCATCTCGGCACGGTTTAAAGACTCTTTTTTCTTTGCCTGACAATATGATTTCTTAATAGTGTCGTACATGAAGTAGTAGCATGTGCTATATGGAAGCATGCCCACCAACGTAGGGGCAATGCCAGAGTACATCGCACCAATCCCTCCATCCTTGTACATTTTGCTTAGTGCAATGCTTATACTGGGGTAAATTTCTGGACTTATAGTCAACCGATCCTGTTAAGGTAAAACCAAACATTAAAAAAACTACTTCAGTTACCATATAGTGTTCCAAAAATATCCGGTGTAAAAGGGCTGTTCCTTTTTGGAGACAACAAAATACCCCTAGGCAACGAAATACCTACCTTTAAGACTTCAAGTGGGTGGCAAACGAGGGTACTAGCAACACCAGCAGCCGCACCAGCCACGGCAACGGGAGAGAGCCAAGAGAGAGAAAAGTCAATGCTAATATGACCGATCTGTAACTTTGGCCCGCCAGCTTGGGCCCACCTCTCTTGTGATGAAGCCATTGCTCTCTTTACATACTCAAACGTTCCAAACTCAATTGCCTGCGTAGGAACTATGCGCAACATGTTAACCATGTTGCCCGCCCATAGCCCTTGCCATCCATGCTCCTCAACGACTTGGATGAAACTCTGACCAATTTTTTTGGACCCCACGCCAACCACCATTCTTGTTCTTCATGTTTTTTTATATAGAGAGCGAAGATTAAAATTAATATAGAATTATAGAAATGCCTGACTTAACTAAAGATATACGAAGCAGTTATTCTCTGTTCTAAAACTAACAAATAGAGATAAATTAGTAACATAACAATCAATTTCCCCCTAGGAGATGTGACTTGAAGAAGTAATCATAGAGAAAAGTAGATCAAACCTGATGGTTTCAAGGGGAGCTAGAACAGCTTTGGTCATAGCCCCTGCCAAAGCACCGCTAAGAAACTCGCGGAACTCTCTGCTATTGATGAAATCCTGAAACAAAATGACAAGTTCATTTAAACATTTAGCTTCATACCCTTAAAAACTCTCCTTTTT